ACAACTAAAAGAACTGGAGAATAATAGCAGAAAGCAAGAAATAAGCAAGATCAGAGTAGAACTTATTTGTTATTCTTTTTAAAATCTTGAGTTGTATACTTTCTTCATTTTCATTTTATAGATTGAATAATGAAAACATTTAAAGTTATTGATTTCAGTAAAATCTTTGTTAGCATCCATGCGTTTTCATTATTTTATTATTTTTATTTTTCTTCAGAATCTAGGATTTTCCCCCCTGTGTGGACAACAGTTATGTAGGATAGTATTTTTATTTGCTTCTATATTCTTGGGATAGAATTCAACTTTTATTTTTTCACTTTATTAGCCATATATGTGGTTTTTAATTTATCAAGTATATGCTCAATTGATTTCACACCAAAGGATCATTTATAGTGTAATCAAATTATGTTTCCTTTAAGAGAAATGCCTTCTTAACTGATGCATTTTTAGAAAACTTCTTAATTTTTTAACAAAAATTCTGATGTAAACCTTTACAAATTATATTTAAGCCAAGATGGACTTTAGTAGAATCTCCTGTTGTATTTGTGTCAGTGTTACAAATCACTTAAATACTTTTTTTTTTTTTTTTTGGTAATACAACTCAGAGTTTAAATAGAAATAAATATTTTTATTTCATAGTCTTTATATTCTAACTTTTCAAAGTTAAAAAATAAAGATATTGTATTTTTGCATCTTTAAAAATGTATATTTGTCATTTCTAATTGATTAACTTAATTTGTAATTTCTGTACATTTCTTCCGCTTCATAGTTAGAGATGAAATATCTAATAGAGATCATCTTTTTCTTGATAACCTCTCATAACATCTTGCTTTTCACCATGACTATTTGAAACAAGAATATCTGTAAATATGGAATAGTATTAGAAAAAAATATAAAATCATATTATTTCCCTCCTGCAAGGAGAGAAACATGTATGTTAATAGCTAATAAAATAACTTTTATTTCTAAAGAAAGCTAAATATTTTAAATTTCTTCATTTTACTTTCAATCTTAGAGCAACTGGAAATATTTGGTCTATTTAACCAAATTTTCTATTAGAAAAATGTGAAAAGCATGTATGTTTTTATTTGATTTTAAAAATAATGGGCATCACATATTTTATTTGAAGATTTATACTCCACAAAAATGTTGTAAACCTTTATCCTGTATAATAAATGATACTGTGTATAGAAATATGTATTATAGTTTATAAAGAAAGTTTTCATCAAATCCCTAAAAGACTATTAGATGGAGCTTTGGCTCAGGTTATATTATATTCAGAACTGTTGGACTAATGCAGTGACTGTTACACTGAACTATGAATAGATTGAATTTTTATTCTGAATTTAGTTAGGAAATATCTAATAATATGTGTACTAAAGTCATTAGCGGAAGGTAGAATATATACTGTTATCCATATCTCAGGTAATTCAGATGGAAAATATTACAAAAGTACCAGGAATAAGGAAACAAAAACACGAAACAAAATGCCCATAATGTGATTTTTCTAGGATCACATCTATTTAACAAATAACATTGAGATTTCATATCTTACCAGCTTAAGGGATATTCTTGACAGCTGTAGTTGTCTTGCGATTCTAGTTTTAGTTAACACACATCTCATTTCAATTTCCCAAGGCAAAGTTTTATGATGTAAGCAAAGTTTTAACTTTTGTTTTCAAGGAATCTTTCTTCTAATTCTTTCTAAGGTCGATTATTTCTTGCATGGCAAATGTTTGGAGCCTCAGGCTTTTAGCAAAGGGAAATCTTAATAGGTTCCCATTCACAGAAAGGAAAGAAGCCTGGTGCCTGTCACTGCATGGAATGTTCTTGTTATTGCTTTGTCCTCGTTTCCACCAGGAATCTGCTGCTCAATAGATGACCAGCCTCCATCTTTCGACAATGCTGTCCATGGTAAAGTCAAGTCTTGCTGGTCTTCGTCCCAGTAGATTCACACCAGGAGTCAAGATACTTGTCTTTCAGCTTTCTATACGTGAAAGGAAAACTCAAATGTTTTCCATCTCCATTTGCTCACTATTGTGTATTAGAGTAGAGTCAAACTGTAGAAATGCAAAATGTCTGAATATCTTTCTTAAATGTTACATAATCTAAGACATCCTCACTCTGCTGTGGTGGGAGGATTGGGATGTCTTTATTACTCTTTGATAAATCACAAAAGCCACTACTAAACTAAACTGTTGTGCCTTCTCCCACAAATACCCACCTCAAAAAGATTGGGAGGTCTTTCCTGAAACTTCTGCAGAGGCACTGAATAAACTAAACCTAAGATTAAGTATTTTGTGAATCACCTCTGCTGATTAACTCATTGACGGGGCATTCCACTGTTCAACTTTGAAAATGGCATTTTTATTCAGTTTGCTAATATTTTATTAGAATGTTTGGGCCTGGTATTTTCTGTTTTGTCTAACCTTTATTATATATTGATATGAAGGGCATTTAATTCATAAAAACAGTGAAATTCTCTTCTTTTTAAATCAAATATCTGTTATTTAAAAGTTAGAATAAAGTTCTGAATACTCATTAGGAAATTTTTATGGCATCTATTTCTACTAATTCTAATAGCTGTACTATTACTTGCTATAAAATATTTCAAATAGTACATATTTGATTAATGTTCCAGTTTAATTAATGCCATTTGATACATTCCACAGTTCTGAATATTAGTTATTAATCTCACCTTGGTGTGTCCCTTATTATAAACTTTCTGACAGTTACCCTATCTGCCAATATAAAAACAGAATTAGTATTTTAGGAAGATAAAACATGGCCTTCTATGATCCAGTTCCATTCATCTTCTCCTCTCTAACTTCTTGCTCCATTGCTTGCTTTGGACTTTAAACTCCTGAAACACAACCTTTTTAGTAGGTCTTCACATACAATATGTTGTTCTTTGCCCTTGAGGATGGTGCCAGCTCTGCCCTCTAACCTCAAGAGATATAAGAGCACAGCAATTATGTATGCTGGCTCTGAAATTAGCCTATATATGTGACTGCAATAAAGGTTATGTAAGCTCTCTTATCCTTTAGTATCATTATCTGTAAAATGAAAATACTGGTAAGATTTCATGGGGCTACTGTGGAGGTTATATGAATCAGTATATTCAGTACTTAGAAGAGAGCTTTACACTTAGGTGCACTGTGCAGGTTAGTTGTAATTATCATTTCGGGGATATACACTGCTCTTCTTCTGTGACTCAGCTTAGAGACTATTTTTAGGAACATTTTGCCTTCAGAACACAAAGAATTCTCCCAGGCATTGTGCTTCCTTCTATATAGCAGAAAATTTGAGATGCAGCTATTTGCCTTTTACTTTCAAGGAGACATATTGGCACATACTTGATAACTGGATCTCTAAACTTCACTCAAGAGGCCAGTCCCTGATTACAGAGTTCATCTTCCACCCTCTGGAGTGCAGATATCTTAACAATCTCCAGCATACTCACCACCTCTTGCTCATGCTGTCTGATCTGCATGATGTCGTCAATGTAATGAATCACTGTGACGTTCTGTGGGATGTCCAGATCACTTCAGATTATGTATATTATTACTGAAAAGAGTAGACATATCCCTGAGGCAAAACTGTAAATGAATATTCATATCTACTCCATGAATCTGAACTGTTTCTGATCTCTTTCTCTAATTGGAATGGAAGAAGTATGTATTTGCCAAATCAATGGCCACATGCAGTGTACATGTAGCCTTATAAATCTTCTCTAGCAATTGTATCGTGTCTGTAAGAGAAACTTTAGTTAGGACTACTCTTTAGTTAAGCCTGCAGAAGTTTACAGTCATCCTTCAGAGTTCTCTGTTGTTGGCAGGGAATCAGGCTGTTGAATTAAATGAGAATATGACAGGGACCACTACCATCTCTCCCCATCCACTACCATCATTCCCCATCCCATTGCACCCAGGATAGGATATTATCTTTGATTTACTCTCTTGACTTGATTTTCAGATATTTTCATGGGACCTTCCCAACTCTGATAGCTTTTTAGCTCTTACTTCACAGACCAGAGACCCAGTGTAAGAATTACTTCAATTAACAAGTGTAGCAATTTCAATTATGCACTTAGAGACTAGGAGAATGATCACTGACCGAGTTGTTATTTCAGTGGGCCAACTGTGAATTAGACTTCAGTCAGGCTGCATTTTTTACCTTGCCCCATAGATACACACTCTTATGTCGCCAGTCTTAAGTCTTCAACGTTACTGAAAAACCAGTGCTTAATATTCCTTGAAATGTCTGATTATTCCCCTTTTTCCAGAGCTTAGTTGCCTGGATAAATGACCACAGCACCCTTTGGGAAAGGACTAGGGGAATCATAGTGTTTACTTGCCAGGATGTTTCAGGGTCTTTCTTCCTAGGGACCCTGCCACCTCTTTGGTCAGCAGGCTTCAGAAGTGAAAATTGTCTCATGTCTGGGAACTGAGCAAGTATTATGACTTTTAATAAAGGTGACTACCCTCTGCTTCCTGACTTTGTTCATCTTCCCTTGACAATGTCCCCTATCAAAATCCTGTCTTTTCCTTTTGTATTCTCGACCTTCTAAGGTTAGCTGAAATAAATCTCCCCAGACTATGAACTGTCATGCACATGCGGTGATCATAGTCTGTTTTATATTTATTTGTGTATATCTTTTGCCCCTACTGAACTGTACATTGATGCCAGAAATGTGTCATATTTATCATCTTATTATTTAAATGCCCTACATTGTGCTCTGAACATATTATGCAAGCTATGGAAGTTTACTGATGATTTTAATGATATCTGCTTTTCTTCTGCATTTAGCCATTAGTAAAACATGTTCCTATCCTATTTATATACTATTTTGTATATGTAAACCTATATATTGAATATGACATTTTATATGGAATCTCATAAATTTTTTGGCTGACTTTCCATTCTTTTTGATGTTACATATTAAGATTTTAATTAATCAAATATCAAATTTTCATTATTCAAAATGTTGTTTCTTATAGATAATTTGTGGTAAAAGCCTTTCAGTGAATGAAATGACTCTTAGCACCTTGAAAGAAAAAGGCTACAAAGCTGCTTTCATTGGAATAGGTGAGTATTTTACTCTTAAATATATTTATTTATAGTATTTTTTTTATTTCCTAACAATATCCAGAAGAATGACTGCCTTCAGAAACTTTCATGATGGAAGTTATATTTGTTCAGGGAATAACAGAAATGGTTGGCCAAGTAACTAATTTTCTATTTTATAAGTAGTCGTGCTGTTTCACCTTAATTATGGAGAGATTTTGGCAAGATATTTTTTATCTTCCTGTTCTCTCACCACACCATCGTCACCAGTGAGTATCACTAGGAAGAAAATATTTTCAAGTCATGCCATGGGAAACTCAGAACCTGCCTAGAGGCTGTAGCTTTCTTTTTATGATAAAATAATTGACTACAGTGATAATGAAGGACAGAGTTGTCTCTTTCCCTTTTGTTGTTCAATTTTCAAAAATTTCCAAAGACTTTTCCTATTTGGTTGAATTTTTTAAATGTTCCATCAGTGTTCTGAAAGTCAGTCCCATAGACAGTGTATTACTGCTGAGGCACTCAGTGTATACTGTTTTCTTGTATTTTGCCTAAATATATTATGGAGAACGAGTTTTCTAACATTTTTCTTCCACTTAGTGTTTACTGAAAGACCAGAGAGAACAAATAAGTTGATTTGACTTAGTCTTTGCCTCATGAATGTCATGTTCATTCTCTCATATGATTGTACTATGGACAATTATGACATATAAATTGAGTATATTAAATAAGGGATCCCCAAGCTTGAGGCCACGAACTAGTACTAGTCTGTGGCCTGTTAGGAACCTGGCCACACAGCAAGTGAGTAGTGGGCAAGGGAGCATTACTGTCTGAGCTGCATCCTGTCAGATCAGCATTAGATTAGATTAGAATCTAATGGCATTACATTCTCATAGGAGCGCAAACTCTATCGTGAGTTGCATGCGAGGGATCTAGGCTGCATGCTCTTTATGAGAATCTAAAACTAATGCCTGATGATCTGAGGTGGAACAGTTTCATCCCGATACCATCCCTTCTCTGACCTGGTCCATGGAAAAATTGTATTCCATGAAACTGGTCTTTGGTGCCCAAAAGGCTGGGGACTGCTATGTTAAATTGTTACTCATTTTTCATATAAGCCCATCATCATATATTTTCCTTTGTCTCTTCAGCATTTCACTCTTTTAGAATATGAAGATCTAAATAACATCTCTTTAAGCGATCACACACTGAATAATGTTTGTTTTTGCAGCTGTCCTTTCTCATTGTGTTTCTGCAGTTCAGTCATCACTAATGCTTGTCTACTAAATTTTTCTTATCAGAATCGTGTCTAAACCCGTCTCTGCCAGCCCCTTTATTTAGGTGAAAAATTATGGAAAGCAATATAAATTTGTACCGTCTTCTAGCTCCTAAATGTCTCGACTGAACCTCCTTCCTTTCAGAAAATTTTGGGTGCCTTTATCATTAGTATCTGTTTATATGATCTTCATTTCAATATTATAGTTATTGTGTATATCAAAAGTAGGAAGGAGGAAAGATCTGATATTTTCCCTACGTTCTGTTTTTAGACATACTATATTTGATTTTAACTTTACTTTTCAAAATTACATTTGTATTGAGAATTTAATGTACAGAAATTGGGCACGTGGCTATAAAGTATATTCTGCTAATACCAGCAATGTTAGATCAGCACATTCCAATTACTTTCAATAAACACATGATCAAAAACGCTTGGTCAGGGCCGGGCGCGGTGGCTCACGCTTGTAATCCCAGCACTTTGGGAGGCCATGGCGGGTGGATCACGAGGTCAAGAGATCGAGACCATCCTGGTCAACATGGTGAAACCCCGTCTCTACTAAAACTACAAAAAATTAGCTGGGCCTGGTGGCGTGTGCCTGTAATCCCAGCTACTCGGGAGGCTGAGGCAGGAGAATTGGCTGAACCCAGGAGGCGGAGGTTGCGGTGAGCCGAGATCGTGCCACTGCACTCCAGCCTGGGTAACAAGAGCAAAATTCCGTCTCAAAAAAAAAAAAAAAAAAAAGCTTGGTCAGTAATAAGTGGAAAATTTCATCAGGCTTTAGGTCTGCAATACTGATAATGTTTCAAATAACTATTTGAAATTCACCATTGTACTAAAAGATATGTTTTTCATTATTTGAGTATATACTAATACAATTACTAATACATGTATCTGTAGAACTTTGTCTGCAAAGAATCTGAAGAAATGTGGACCAATAAAATAAACAATATATTGAAGTATTGAAATTAATTGCATAAGAAGCAAATTGTTCCAAAAATTTAGAATAATTAAATTGTTCATTACGCTGAGTAGTTATAACCATGAAACACCTTCTAACTGAAGCAATCGATTGTATTTCAGCTTTTTTATTTTATTTTATCTATTAAGTCCCCTTAACTATATTATTTGATAATGCTATACTGATTCACAATACAGTTGTCTCCATTTGACTCTGAGTTATGAACACAGCATTTAGAATGTAAAGTCCTTTCATATTTATGTGCTGTGCATTTTCATGCTGAGAAGTGAATCTCTGATATTTTGGTATAGTGATGTGAGGAATGCAGTTATACTGTATTTCAGTATTTTGCATGAACCATACTCAAAAAAGTTTCAACATGTCAAAAAGAAAAGCTTCAGTCTGTGAAGACAAGTAGCCACATTCACTAGGTACTGTTTGACACTCAGGATTGTCGACTTGGGAATTTATGACCTTTGTATTACCATGTAACTGTTGGTTACTTGGACAGCCACACAACCTTACATGCTTTTGTTAACTTTGCTTCCATATTGTAATTAAACTTCACTCACTTATTTTATCTCCCCTTTCTCACCGATTTTGGAGGAGGAAATGTAGAATAGGAATTCCATATTACTTAGGTTATAGGTTTGGGCACTTTCAGAAAATAATAGAGGGTAAAACAATATATACATTTAGTTATTTCTCATCTAACAGCGTAAGCCATTTTCAAACCTGAATTCCATCTTTGGACTGTGGTGGTTACCATGTTCACATTCATACTAATAGAAATGGGAAAGAGAAGCAACTCCTTCCCTTTTATGTTTATGACCCAGTAGTTGCACAGATCACTTCTGCTTTTATCTCATTGTCTGTAATCTGACTGTGTAAGCATGCCAACAGCAGAGGATGCTGGGAAGTATTGCCTTTTGCTGGGTAGACATAATCCCCATCAAACAGCTAGTATTATAGGGTAAAGGAATAGCAGATATTGAGAGAGGGGAGAAATAAAAGTCTCTGTTACAGGTGTGTATCATCATTAGTATTTGATACAGGAGATCAGTAAAGCACTTAGTAGAAAACACTTAATGCTTAGTGCATACATGTTGGTTACATAAGTAGTTTTAAAAAATGGAAATGCTTTCTCTTTCTGTAGTTGGAAATGCCATAGTTATTGATCTTGTTATTTATAACCATCATCTTATTCTATGTTAGATTGTGTTAAAGAAAAAATATTTTTAATTAACTATGACTTAGTAAGGATAGTTCATTAAGCTCATTGTATTAACATAAATCTGTTCACATATTTCCAGTTTTTTCTATTGTGTGTGATACTGCTTGTGCAGTCTCTCACTTTTAGAGTTTTCCCTAATACTACCAGAGTCCATTAAGGAAATAATCTCATTGAATGTACATCATTGTTACTTCTAGAGATATAACGTCTCTTTAGCCATAAGAAGTTTAGTTTCTTCTAAGTACTGAGATAAAGCCCTATGTCTTATTCAAAATTAGACTGTTATCTTCACAATAATTTAGTCTTTTTTTAAGACTCTAAAATGTTCGAATTTTTACGGAAATCAAAGCACCTGGACAGCATGTGATTGACAATGTTCAGAAGCAGAATTGGAACATCTGCTATACAAGACTTTTAAAAAATATTGGATGTTCTCTTTATTTGGTATTGAAATGAACATAAAAGGTTACAACCATTGTTTCTTCTTTTTTATTTTATGAAAATAATCAGAAAATGATAGGATAGAAGTATGTTGGCCATGGTTAGGGCAAGGGTTATTTTGTGAAAAATGTTTTTCAGTGTGCATTTTTGTTTTTGATGTGTGTACTTGCACATGCACACTACATTAAAATACTATGTTTTTTTTTTTTTTTTAAGTTCTGAGATACATGTGCAGATCTTGCAGGATTGTTACATAGGTATACACATGCCATGGTGGTTTGCCGCCTCCATCCTCCTGTCACCTACATTAGGTATTTCTCCTAATGTTGTCCCTCCCCAATCTCCCCACCCCCTGCTATGCCTCCTCTAGCCCCCAACCCCCCAACAGACCCCAGTGTGTAATGTTCTCCTCCCTGTGTCCATGTGTTCTTATTGTTCAACACCCACTTATGAATGAGAACATGCAGTGTTTGGTTTTCTGTTCTTGTGTCAGTTTGCTGAAAATGATGGTTACCAGATTCATCCATGTCCCTGCAAAGGACATGAACTGATCTTTTTTTTATGACTGTGTAGTATTCCATGGTGTATATGTGCTACATTTTCCTTATCCAGTCCATCTTTGATGGGCATTTGGGTTGGTTCCACGTCTTTGCTATTGTAAAAATTGCTGCAGTGAACATACATGTGCATGTGTCTTTGTAATAGATCGATTTATAATCCTTTGGTTATATTCCCAGTAATAGGATTGCTGGGTCACATGGTGTTTCTATTTCTAGATCCTTGAGGAATTGCCGCACTGCCTTCCACAGTAGTTGAACTAATTTACACTCCCACCAACACTGTAAAAGTATTCCTACTTCTCCACATCCTCTCCAGCATCTGTTGTGTCCAGATTTTTTAATGATCACCATTCTAACTGGCATGAGATGGTATCTCAATGTAGTTTTGATTTGCATTTATCTAATGACCATTGATGATGAGCATTTTTTTGCAAGTTTGTTGGCTGCATACATGTCTTCTTTTCAAAAATGACAGTTCATATCTTTCGCTCACTTTTTGATGGGGTTGTTTTTTTCTTGTATACTTGTTTTAGTTCTTTGTAGATTCTG